TAAATATTATTGCATGTAATTATAAATCGACTACTTTATGAAATCAAGAATTGAGTTTTGCAAACATAAAGAAAGACAAAACTGACCTATTGTTATCCGTCATTTCAAACAATCCTCTGTTAGCAATGTCCTGAAAAATATTATGTAAAGACGATATTGCATTATTCCATAAAAGATCAATGATAATGTTTGTAAATACATGCAAAAATAAATGATAATAATAATATTGAGTTCACATTCATAACAAAATTAGAACCGATTCCAGTAATCCTAGACGAAGTGAAGCCGATTCCGGTAATCGCTCGTCGATTTCGGTAGTATGGAAGAAATCATAGATCACCTTGTTTATTATGTAATAGCGATTACAATAAATATTATTAAATATCATTTGAATTGTTTGTATTTAATAAAATATGGCAAGATATTTTTAAAACGCTGAAATATAACAAAATAACAGACTAATTCCGGTATTTACCTGTTAATTCAGGCACTGTGATAGTAATTATTCTATCTTAGACATCTAGTTTATAATAAGAAGTGACCTTTATTTCATAAAAAATCTTTTTATATCAATGATATTATTTGCATTTAATAAAATAACATAAAAATAACTATAGTATACTGGCTGATCCCGCCCATCCTTCCCCTATATCGGCAGTATGACAGTAATTTGCCGATCTTAGGTCTCTTGTTTTATTAATTAAAAGCGAATTTACTTACAAAAATGAATATCGTTGAAAATTTTTATATCTTATAAAAACATGCAAAAGAAATATTTAAAAAGTTCACAAATAACCAAATTACAGGTCGATTCCGGTAATCCATCGCCTATTCCGACAGGTTTCCCGTTTTTGCCGATCTTCAATATTAATCTTTTTATTATTATATAACAGCGATTTTTCATAAATCTTTTGCTTCTTATTTAATACCGATTTCAATAAACATTATAAAAATCGTTTATATTGTGTTTGTATTTAATAAAATAATTCAAGGTTATTTTTTAAACGTTGAAATATTGGTGGGGGAAAAAACAGACCGATTCCGGTAATTCCCCGATAGCCCTGACACTGCATATATGCGATATGGCAGTAATTCGCCGACCTTAGATCTCTAGTTTATTATTTAATAAGGATTCTTCATATTCAGAAATCTTTTTAGATATCAATGCTATTGTTTTCATTTTTTTTCTTGCAAAGTCCATAAATTACAATAATACAGGCCGATTCCGGTAATCATTCGGCTATTTCGGCAGTATGACAGTATATGTAACTCGCCGATTTTCGATCTCTTGCTTTATTAACCAAAGGCGAATTGAAATTTACAAAATAAAAGAAAGAAAGAAACTTTTAAATATCATTCATAATATTTATATTTTATAAGACGAATATTAACAATGCAACAGAAACGTTAAAAAGTACAATAGACTAAATTATACGTCGATTCCGGTAATCTTTCGTCGATTCCGACAGTATGGCAGTAACTCGCCGATATTAAATATCTTGTTTAATTAATAAAAAGTGATTTTATTGACAATAATCTGATTACATATTATTGCTATTGTTTATTTATAATCAAGGGTGCAAACATTTTGTTTAATGTATAAAGATAAGCAAATTACAGGCCGATTTCGGTAATCCTTTGCCGATTCCGGCAGTTTGCCCGTTTTCGCTGATCATATATATAAATATTTGTTTATTATTATTATTTAAAAGCGATTTTTTTCACAATCTCTAGGAAGATTAATGATAATATTTAGGGTTTATAAAAACATGCAAAAGGAACATTAAAAGTTGCATAAACAACGAAATAACAGGCCGATTCCGGTCACGGGCAGTTTGGCAGTAGCTCGCCGATATTAGATCTCTTGTTAAATTAATCAAAAGCGATTTTATTTATAAAAATCTTTTCATAAATCATTGATATTGTTTATATTTTATAAAATTGCAAGAAAAAACTTAAAAAGTTTAATTATTACAAAGTTACAGGTCGATTCCGGTAATTCACCGCCGATTCCGGTCGATTCCGGTAATTCGGCCGATTCCGGTAAGTCGTGTAACCGCTTTCTAGTGTCAAATTTCATTTTAAAACAAAAATTTAGATATTACTGATAAGCCAATCTTGTGAAACTAAAACATATTTCAGAATATTATTTAACTTTTATACAGTAAAAACGTCACCATACTTGAAAGTTGAATAAATAATCTACATACTTTGACAACTAAGTAATTAATAGTTAACTATAGAAAAAGTTAACCTTACATACATTGTAAACAAAATGTTTTTACTCTTGGCATTATTTTTCAACAAAAATGAAATTTTTTCAAAAAGAGTTCATTTTCAATATACATGTATTACAAATGTACAATTGATGAATGATATAAATATACAATATTTAATCAACAAACTATTTATTTCATCATTTTGCCTACTAGCAATTTTATACTTTTCAAGACTTTTTCATACATTATTTCATAACATGTGATACTGTAGTGTAAAATATTCACAAAGCTCAACATTAAGTTTTCAGACCAATTACTTAAATATAGCAGAAATGATTGTATGCAGTGATATTTTAAAATTTTTACGCTTTCTGATTAATATGATTTTATCCCGTAGAATATTTTCACATGAAATGAAGTAGAATCAATAACTAGTTGTCCCCCACATGGAGGTAAATTCGTGTCCAGACTTTGCTAATCTTCACCCCCACCTAGTCAAATAGTCAATAAATAAACAACAAAATGCAAATAATTATATCAATCCCTATTATACTGGAACGCAGCAGACGCTCGGTATAATTGCTAGCATTTTGTTCATGAATGGCTCGCACCACCACACAGCGAGAACTTTAAAATAGCCAGTGAAAAGAGGAGCGAAATAAAAAAAATATCTACATTATAGCTGAATGCTATAAAAAGGCTGATCTTTTCAACAGAGAACATTTCCGTTGTTTGAACAATTCAAAATATATAAAAGGTTTGAATATCTTTAATTGTCCCGCGGTTTTAGTATATATATATGATATAACGGTTTTAACAACTTCAATTGTCTAGTATTCTCTATAACAGTTAAGACAGATCTCTAAAATATTCCCAGGTGTTTCTAAAGCTACAATAATTAGTTTTAAATTTTTTATCAACATGCCACATACAAAGTTACACTGACTGTTCCACATTCTCCCACCTAGAGAGGTAGGGACACCTAAATACATTGTAACTTATTTATCATTCTGAATCCATCAAAAGTGTAATATCATCAATTTTCTTTCAACTTGCATTTTATTTGAAAAAATTCTAACAAAGTTTGCACCCAAGAAATTACATACATAATCAGGGTTCAGAATTTGGAAGTCTGAATCTGCAAAACCTCTGATTGGAAGTCACAAGATATCTATAGGTAATGAGGGAAAAGAATTATAAAACTACAGGGCCAAAAAAACCTTCTTTGTAGAGGCCGAAGATAGGCTGCTTCCCCAACCAAAATAGCCTCTTTTTTTCCCCCACTTTGGTCCTCAAAATTCCCCAGTCTTTTAAAATTTCCCATAGAATTTAGAACAAAATTAAATGATGGTGTTGAATTAAGGTCTTTTACTGCCTTATTAGTATTTCCCAGTACTTTTTGCTTTTCTGTTTTGAAGAACTTGTTAGATGTTCAGTGATATTCATATTTTTACAGAATCAAACTAAAATCGACATCAAACTATCAACAAGATTGTATATTGATGTTTTTAGCTGATTATATTACACAGAAGATACCAGGCAGAATTTGAAAGGACAGGAAAAGAAATAACTGCCAGTAATCAGTTGCCTGAAAATAGCCAAGCTTTAAGTGGCCCCACTACCAACTGTTATGAAACCACGTGGATATTTCATACAATGAGTATTTAAAGACAGTAAAAAATCAAAAATACTATGAAGTTTCTCTCCCATTTTTATTCAATACAATGGCATTGAATGACATATTGGGAAAAGGCCCCTGGCATAAACTGGGAAAATTATAACATTTTGGAAAATTTGAAAATTTTAAAAAGTTGAAATACTACATCTCTGCTAATACATTTATATATAAGTTATGTCTACCAAAAACTTCAATAACTTGACAATTCTTTCAAGAAACTGTCAAAATACTGAAAATAGTTCAACGTTTAACATTTTTTGGCTGCTATTGGTTTCTTTTTAATTGGGAAAATGTATGCTTGTAAGAAATGGTAATGATAAATTTTGGAAATTGTTTGAATAATTATAAGAATCTTAATTTAGTTAAATTGTTTGAATAATTATAAGAATCTTAATTTAGCTTAGTATACAATATTAATATCTGTTTAATAATACATAGTGTTATTACCAAATTCAGCTTAATTGTAAAATAGTATTGAAATATTATAAGTCACTACTAGATCTGCTGTTTTCAATACTTTCCCCTGTCTCCCCCAGGGATTTCTTTAAAAACATGCAGTTTTCCCTTGAATCCAATTTACATTGATAATCATAAAGTCTTTCCCTTTTACAAAATTTAAATATCATGCAATTTTTCCTCAAATTTAATGAAGGACAATCCCCCTTATCTTAAAAAGCTTTTTATTATGAAAGTGGTAAACTGTTATGAGACCATAAACAAGATATCATCATCAACATGGACTGAAATATGGTCCTTACATTTCGACTGGAGCGTAGAATAAGAATAGTCATTAAAATATTCTTAACACTACATTTTATATCAATCAGTTTGAGAAATAAATTGTTATTTTTTTGTGTGGTTGAAAATTTCAAGGGCGAATAATGCTTCTGTCACAACCAAGTTAGGACTTTTTACAAAAAGACAATATATTGTTCGACAGTCAACATCAAATGGCAATCACTGTAAAAGGCTTTTATAATTTTTGGTGACTTGTAACCAGAATTATTAGTGATAAAGATTCTTCATACAACACCGACACATTCTTTGTTTACGTCCAAAAATGGCTACCAAAAATTACATTGGCAAAAAGAAAATATTCTTACCAGTATTTCACGAGTGCTGTTACTTGTAACGGGTTGGGCTGATCTTGATATAATTTCCGACATGCTGAATAAATGGCTTCTAATCCTGGTGGAGTCACTGGCACCTGATAATTCTGATAATTTGGTGCAAAATAATTGTCTCTTTCATCCATGTTTGCTTGGTTGTAAGGCATTTTTGAAACTGATCCGTTTGTCTCCCTCGGGAGTGTACCTGTCATTACTTAGTTCGGAAATAATTTAATTTTTGTTATTAAGCCTAATATAATCACACTTTTCTATTTTGTCATTCATAAATTTTATTTTACTATTCCTTCGATTTTTCAGACAACAGTTTTTCCCTTTCTGCTTGTATTGGAAACAATGAATATCTTATATATACACTGTCAGTTCTTACGAAATATAGAACAGCCGCTGATTGTGTATTGGCCACCCACTTCGCTCGGTCAATTCCGTAAATATACGAAAATGATATCTAAACTGCGGATAAGTCATACAATTTGCGGCCCTGAAAAAAACAGGAGGGAAGCTTTATTTTAAGTTGCAATTACACAATTGCTAAACAGCCTAATCGTAGAGTAATTGAAAAGTAAAATTTAAACAAAGATCGTAAAACATATATTTACATAGAATAGAATAGAATAACTTTTATTTCCAATCAAGGGTCATGTTAAATGACATGTGAATCACGATGATAATGAGATCAAAGATCAAATAAAGACGTTAAAGAAACTAAAACTTGATTTGTATTATAGTTACAACAATAAACTTAAAGAAAAAACAAAAACAAAACAAACAAACACAGCAAATGACAGGGTTTCACGAACTATAATTAAACATCATAACTACATATATATATGAATTGAAAATTACATTTTGTTTTTATTCTTCGAATAACCTGGGACATAAGATAAGTCCCAGGAATAACATACACTAACAGATAGCGTACACCTGTTTTGTAACGTAACAAAACTGTACAATACACATGTCTCTCAAAAAAATAATATATATATACCAAGTTAGATTAATTTATGTTTTCTCATTATCATTTCTGAGTTTAAAACAAGTAAAAATAGAATCTACAAATTGTTTTATGATTTTTTCATCTTCGTTGCTCATTAATAAAATGAATTTGCTCATTGCAGACATTTTTTCAAAGTTTAAATTCTTATCTTTTATTTCATTATATAAAATGCTGCGTTGACTAGTAAAAGCATTGCAAGCAGTAACAAAATGTAGCTCGTCTTCAACTTATTTAAGTTGCAAACTTCGCAAAATCTTTTATCAGACTTGATTTTTTTATATCTCCCAATCTCTATTTGTAATTTATGAGAACTTATCCTTAACTTTGTAAAACAAGCTCTAATATTTTTATCTTTGATTACTGCTAAATAAGGTTCCCTACAAAAATTTGTTTTAAACAGTGCATAAGTACGTAGTTTTCCATCATTATCAACAGCATTTTTTAATTTATCCATAAATCGAATTTTAAAAGTGCTCAATAGTTGTTTTCGAACAACAACATACAGATGCTTATCACTATCAGGTATTTAAAAATATTTTAGTATGAAGAATACATTCGATAACCAACTGTTTTTTTTACAATTGTACAAATTTTCACTTTCAACAGAAGCATTTTTTAAAAGTTCACTAATTGGAGATTTGGTTAACCTTGTATAATACTTAATACAACTGATTATGCAATCAAAATATAAAGGAAATCTCCCTATATATAACAACATATAACAACCTGAATTAAAAAGTAAATGATGTACTTATATAGAAAGGGAATTGGGACATAAAATTAAGCAAACAAATACAGGGAAATAGTTATGGGATAAGCACATGGTAACTAAAAACTCTGAGTAAAAAGTAAATAAAACAAAAGATAAAATAATAATGTCGTTAGTACATAACCTTGGACGTTTTTTATTGGAGAGGGGAGGCTGGAGGGTCGCAAATGAGATTGTGGTTGATGATGAACGCAGTCACCCACGTCTACTACGATTGAGAATAGGTACGAAGGGGTCTCCCTCCCGTTTATGGGGATTTGGTGTATTCTGGCTGGGACTTACTAAAAGTAAGTATATTTTTAGTCCCATATTCTTGTCCATTTTTGGGGGCCTTTTTGCATTTTTAGACACAAACATATATTTTTCATTCTAACCGTAAAACATAAGAATCCGAAAACATAAGAATCATATTCAAAGTCTGTTATTACCCCATTTCCCCATTTTTTATCACTATTAAATGATCTGTCTGATTCAATACTGAATAGAAAGTTACAGCTTGTGCTGCTACAGGTCTGGATCCGATTCCCAAACTCCATGTAACCTTGAGATTCATATACATTTTATTTTTATCGATATTATAAGGATCCATTAAAGTTCATGCAGTTTACATAAAGTTTTTTTTTCATTTTTCGCAAAAATACCTTGTTATTTTTGCACAAATTTCAATTAAAGGAAAGGTCCCTATCACTGTCTGTAGAAAAGTCTTGATTATGCGTCATCATTCATATTAGTACGAAGAGGAAGTTCCAAAGAAAGGTTAGTTGTTAACACCTTTGCATGTCTGTTAATAGATATTCATATTATTTCTTGAGTAGAAAAAAGTTAAAGAAAAATTAGTGCCAAATACCTAATAATAAAAATGGGACCGGGTTGACCAGAAAGCAGATTGACTTGGGGCCGGATTGACTAATTTGGGGCCGGATTGACCTGAGGCCGGATTGACTTGGGGCCATGTTGACTCGTACCGTTTTAAAATGTGCATCAAATGCGCAAGAAAACATCATTTAATATTAAAAGAAAGACTGGCATGTAACGCTCTTGCAGTTTTTTTTAGATCGGATAGAATTTAAACCCCTAGTTTGCATGTTCTTAAGCCTGCAATTTTGTGGGGGAAAAAAGATGTAGACACTTGTACATTGTATTTTAAATGCAGAAGCCTCCATCAATTTGACTAAGAAGTACTCCCAGACTCTCCTTAAAGGCCCATTATGTCCAGAAATGCTATATTTTTTATTTCTTAAATGCTTTTTATTTTTGTCGTCCTGTTATAGTTTCCAAAATGTTAGTCATTGGCCAAGTGACACATCTTTTGCTACTCCTGCTTTTGTCAATTACATTTTGCTACTTTTATTACGAATACTTTCACATTCAGCGCTACTTTCTTCAGGTGACAAGTATAAAAATTCTCTACAATCATTAATAATACACTTTTAAAATTCTAAAGGTGGATTTTTTAAAATTCAGTTCTGAGGCATAATGTGCCTGTAAGGTAGGGTATTTGCTTCATTAATGCAAGGGAAGTAATTTAAAAATCGGTATGTAATATTTATACTGGAGTTCTTTCGCTTTTTTATGCAACATACATATACTTTAACCCCACGGGGATGGACTACATATAGATCTCAAAATTGAAAATCGGTAGAAAAAATATGTGAATTCCCGCTGATCCTGATGTGCATTTGAACTCCATATGTGAAGACAAAGGAATTAACTTCACAAGGCAAGTTTTCAACTGTTTCAACATTTTTATGAAAATCAACGCTTTTTTGAAGAAAATCGAAATGTGATTTTACCCATTTGACTTTCCTCTATATTTGCTTTTAGATTTTCATGATTTTTTTTCTACAGATGCTCTATTTGAGATCCATATATGTTGTTCACCGCCCCTCCCTTAACCCCAAATAGGACTCGAAGAACAAAACCAGACACTGAATCTTAGTAGATATTTATAAGGATAAAACTATATCTTATATTAATGCATCAAAAATGCTTATTAATTGATCATGGTACAGGAGGGGAGCGGTGGCCTAGTGGTTAAGGTGTCTGAATATCAACGCAGGGTTTGAGCCCTACTCGATTCATCAACATATGTTTCTTTAGTACTGGTTAGTTCCAAGAAGCAGACTCATAAGTGATTAATATAAGTTGCAAGAACTTGTTTCACAATCGAGCCTAAAAATGATATGTTTAAAATAAACTAGGTAATAATGCCATACAAGTTATCTTTAATTGGTGTAAATGCAATGTACGCGTGTATCCTTTAAAAGCCTTCTTATATTCAGTATTTCTCTGTACCCAACAATGCAAGATGCATTATATGTAATCTCGGACATAATTATTATGCCATGTCCTATATATAGTGGACGCGTGGACCATGTACATGCAAATGAAAAAATAATAATGTAGAAATGCAGTCAAAGAGTTATCGAATACAGCAATTACATACATACGTTTAATTCCAAACTGATAATTTCTAATGAAAAACGGACGACAGAGAAATAACGTACTTGTTCCGTTTTAAAAAATCATATGTTTTTGTTTCGTTATATAATAAACACCGACCACTCGAACTTGTATAGGTAAATAGGATTAAGTGCCTTTAAATCTGTGATGATGGTATAACTATGGTGGCGGGTCGGTTGCGGCCATTTCAAACCGGCGAGTATATTTATACTCCAATGGTTACTAATGGTTAATCATTCAGATTACATTAAATTGTTTATGAATTTGTTGAATACTGATAAAATTGTATTCTTTCGTTACTGCTGCTTTTGTGCCCTTCACAGTGTCCATCTTTTCAAATTTTATCTGTCAAATAGAACGAAAGTTAAGGTAGGACGTACCATGTCCAATAGCAGGCTTGTAACCTCTGGAGTTCCTTAGACCCCCTGTATTCTTACTATACATAAACGATATTGCTTTAGTGATTACAGATGGTAATATATATCTTTATGTTTATATTGATAATAACTTGTCATGGAATTAACAAATTGAAGCACTTTTTTCAAAACAACTCAAAAATAGCATTATTGAGGCGTATATCTCATTATTTGACTGATGAAATGAAACAGTAACTTTATAATGTATATATAATGTTGAATTTTGATTATTACTGTACTGTTTGGAGCAAAAGAAATTTAAGGTCTCTATAAAATACGTAAAATACAAATAAGAGCTGAAAGGATTATTTTAAACAAAACATCACGAATAAGAAGTCAAGATATACAATATACTGAAAGAACTTGGGTGGATGTCGTACAACGAACGATGTAATTTTCATACTGGAATTCTTATTTATAAAGCTTGTAATAACCTAGCCCAATCTTATATATCTGAAATTTTGACTTTCTCTAGCAATGAAATTCACAGTTTAAGATCAGTATCACATGATGACATACATGTAGTATTCCTAAACTCCGCACAAACTATGTTGTTACAATGGTGCAAAGACTATCTAATAAACATTCTTCTAATTCTCTGACATGTTTTTAAAAATAAGTATAAAAACATATCTTGCAGATCAAATAAATATCTTCATGACTTTGTCATTATGTCATTATGTTATAATTATTATGCACGTATATTTTGTTAAAATATTTTTAAATGAAAATTGTATAAATGATATTTAATATCTAAATGGGGAGTTTGTCATAGGACAAAATCTTAATGGAATAGTGAACTGTTGTTATTGTTTCATGATGTTTTGTGTTTCTATAATTATATTGTTTAGAAGGCCACATTTTAAAAACAAGATATGTTATTTGTTTTCTACGATGGGCTACCTTCATGTGTTACCTTCTTTAAATAAAGATGTTATTTCTATTATTATTATTATTATTATTAATTTATTATGCACATACGTGAAATGCTATGGAAATATCGTATTGTAAAATGGTCTGTAGTTCCAAAATATTGTATAAGCATTTTATTGGATTATGACATCTTCCTGCGTGTCAAAAATTCAAACAAACTGTTATTCAAATTCATTCTACATGTACAATGTTTCAAGTCTTTGCACATATTACCTTTTATTTTATATAATTTCATCTCAAGCATGGGTTGTTATTATCATTAAAACCTCTTAATTATATAATTTCAATTTGACTGTCCAAGTGAGCGATTTTTGTTGTTTTTGACAGTCAGGGGGTCGAACGTATAGCGGTGCGATACTCCTTTAAGCGAGGTGATTACATGCGATACGCCCTAATGGCGGATTTACCCGTGTAAACACACGTCAGAGTGAGTGTTTTTTATTAAATATTTTATAAATCTTCGATTACAAATGCATATTTTGTATTGAGGATGTGAAGATAGGACCGACACACATTTCATCAAAATTACAGAGGCCTAAATTCATAAATAAAAAAGGTATTGAAGGTAAACTGACGGCAACTAATTTTGGGTCGGTGAATAAAATCGCTTAATGTAAGCTTATATTAATATAGTTAATTTCTTTTTCTTTTTTATGCTATAAGAGTAATCATAATTGAGTTGCATAGCAAGTACCTTTGTGCTCCGATATACATAGACCATAACTGGTCAAAATATTTAAGTGTACGCTGGATTTTGGTGCGATAAAATAAATGTACGCTGTTAAAGGTTCGATATTTGTCATTATCACATAAGTTGAACATGTCTTCCTATGATTATACTAAGATATCTACCATATATGTGCCCGTTTCCGGAATTCTGAAATCTTCTTCTTTCCTTTAGAGATTTACTTGAAATAAAAGTTTTATATAACCATCTATATAAGTGTTTGAACTTAATTTGAATAATTGATAATAATTATCGTGTGATAATTAGGAGTTGGATAAAGGTAACCTTTACTCTAAGATCTTAGATAAAAAGTAGGAATTTGACCAAAATATGTAAGAATGAATTTAAGAAACCAATTAGGAAATCTTGTATAAATTAACTCACTTTCAAAGCAGAACATTTCAGAAAAATAGCAAACTGATATTTTTCATATTATAAATAGAATTGAACATTTCAAACAACCTATAAAATACAGTGAAAGTACATTTCACTGCTGTTCTAGAGATAGAGACTGAGAACCAGATGGTAAAAATCTTTAGGTGGTAAAATTCTTTTCTAAAATGTTGCTTAGAACATGGTATTTTTGTGGTGCACATAATTGTGGCCTGTCAGGAAAAAACACAAAACTTCAATTTCAAACGTCAGTCAGACATTGGACACCAAACAGCTCAGTGTTTTTCTTAGGAACAGCTGATGCTTACATGTGCAAAGACACAGTTGTAAATGTTGCAGAGCAATTAAAACATAA